TATATATATATATATATATATATATATATATATATATATATATATATATATGCATTTGAGAGAGAGAGGGAGGGGCATTGAAGCAGTGGATGCTGAACATGCGGAAGAGGATAATATTTATGTTGGGAAGTTGGTAAAGAAGCTTGAGAATGAGGAAACTATGAATAGAACAAATTTAGAAAGATATGAGGAGCACACAGATTCTGATTGTGATGAGGACGAGAAGCTATCACCAGGAGAAATGAAGAAGCGACCAGATCAGTTTGAGAAGATGTTCAAGAGGAACCAGGAGCTCATAAAAACTGTCTATGCAGGTTCGATTGCTTGGTTTTTTTTTTAGTTCTTTTTCTTTTGGAGGTGGTGGGGGAGGGGAGTTCTTACAGTATTTTGGGGTTGCTGGATCGTTTGGAAGCTGGGGACATTTACCATTTTTTTAGTCTCTTTTGGATTGCTTTGAGAAGCTCATTGTGGCTGATGTGTTTGATCTCTCTCTCTCTAGATTACCTGAGATATGAGACATTTTTGTGAAATAATTTATTTGACAATTTAGATTATTTGATCTCATATAATCACTTTCTAATTTTGCTTTTTCCTCAATGCTCCATTTTTCTTTTGTTTAAAATTTTTATATTGTGCAAAGTGTATCATGTTTTCTTGAGAAAGAAAGTGTCCTTCTGCAAAGTACCATATTCTGTGTTTTTCTTTTTTTGTTATCCTTACCACATGATTGTACACATTCTTTAGCAACATGCACCCAGTTTCTTCTTGTTCATCTATGTAGCCTGAGAAAACATGCTATTATTCATTTACTTGTATTTGACTTGAACTCAGATTTTTCTATCGTTAAGATATTACAGTATCAAGGTAAAGTTTTGAGACTTTAATGATAATTATAATAAGAAGATTTTTTTTGGGGCAATTATAATAAGAAGATTTTGATCAAAATAGAGTTTTTTTTGTCTATTATTCCTGTACAGCATACAACAGCTGATGCTTTTACAACTATCTAATCTAAATGCTGGTTCTCTGGTTGCTCCTACACCATATTCTATTGTGATGTACTATATTGAAATATATGCATTTCTTTCAGTTCTCATCATTCCTACTTGGTTGTTATTTTATTGGATTCATTTTCATTACTATTTCTTTCTTACTTTGTATTGAAACCACATGTTGCATTAGACAGATTCCGTACTTTTTGAGTGTAGATTGTATCACCTGATGCTAAGACTGGTTTGCGGCTTAGTCTTTATTTGCCTTGTGTTGTGTTTTAGTTGCTATTCATGTTTCTCTAATTTGTAGTGGTTGGTTCTATTTGCAGAGATCTTGATGGTGCCCTTATTGGATGAATGAGGTTTAAACAATTTGAGGAATAATATGTGAAGCTACCACTCGAATAGAGGGTTATTGGTGAGTTGATGAATTGCTTAGAAAAATCTATAGGCAAGGATTGATTCATTCTTCAGAAAATTAATCATGCTATTTGATTAGTGGAGTGGAAGGAAGCCTTTGATCCCAATAATCCTGCGAATTACGGTGCGATCCAGGTTGAATGATGACCTCCAGATGATCCCTTAACACTTGCTGGTTTAGATAAACAGAAGCAAATGCTTCAAGGTGACAATAAAGAAGAAGAACAATTGAAATTTGGGCAATTGAAATTTGATGAATCAAAGAACAAGGATGAGATTTTAGCAGAGAAGGTGAATGCTGTTGACAAGAAACTCGAGGAGAAACTTCAGGAATCGAAAATTACCTTAAAAAAGAAGGGCAACATCCTAAGGATGAGATAAGAGACATTGCGGATGACAGGAGTACATTGCTTGAGAAGAAAAGGCCTCTATCCAGGGAAGTAAGTGCAGTGCAGTTCGATGTTTTTATTTCTTGATAATATTTGTTTGAATTTGTTTAGGACCTTGAATGAGTTTTCTATTGAATTATTTAAGAGAAACTTCTTTCCTTTCAAAGTTTCTGATGATTCACATTTATCAAAAGTTGTAATTATGCTTCTAATGGTTAATGATGATTCACATTTATCAAAAGTTGTAATTATGCTTCTAATGGTTAATAAGATACTTGTCCATTTATTTTCACCACTACCCAGTAGAGCAAGATCCTGAACTTCGATATTTTGCACGATTTGCTTTCTATCAAAGTGACCTCTTACATTAGGCAAACCTTGACTAAAGGGAATTGTTGAGGTTTCTTTAGAGACCTTCAATCGAATTCTTCATTATTCACATTTATTGAAAATCAAAGAACTCCTCTGAAGGTAATACAACACTTCTATTTCATCAAAACTAATGTGGAGAAGGCTTTTAGATGTGCCTAATTTTTCTACTCATTATCTTAAATGAAGTTCTTCACTGCATCTTGTCTTGAGGTTAATAACAATTCATATGTTTACTTGTCAGAGAAAAAAGTAGATGCATTCTCTACCATTCTCTATTCCATTTTTCTCTATTATGATTTCTATGCATCTGTAACTGTAATTTGTAGTTGACTATGTTTTATTTGGAGGCATTTACTTCAATAGACCAATTTGCTGCAGCACCCTTGATTCAAATTCCCTTTTTCTCCATTTTGTAGTGTTGGGGAGGAAAACTATGTTTGAAAACTAGGATTGGCCCGGTGCATCAGTCTTCTGGAAAACCGGGCCAGATTTGTGGATCTGCCGGATTAGCCCAATCCAGCCTATAAAAGCTTCAAAAAAAAAGTGAAAAAATGTTATAAATATTTTTTTTTAGGTTTCCTGAAAAAATTGGGTTTGTGCATTGTGGATTTTTATTATTTTGCAAAAAATGCATGAATATCGAGAGGTTGTTTTCTCAAAAAATATTGAGAGGTTGTTTCCTGACTGAGTATATATTGATATTAATTTTGATACTAATTTTTTATATTAATTTTGATGCTAATTTTGGTTTTCTTGGGGTTTCTTTTTTTGTGCACTTGGGTTCTCCTCTGGACTTTTCTTGTTATATCCCAAGATCTTCTCAAAATTTTCAAAGAGATCAAAGCGATTTCTTCTTGATTTTTACATGATTTTTCTCACCAGATTAATAGTCGTTTTGTCGAGGGTTTCGAAGGGATCAAATCAGTCTTTTCTTAGGGTTTTGTCAAGATCTCTCAATATACAAGTTTCATTTGTCGATCTTAGGTTTCAAAGTATCTTTCGATATCGAAAGACCTCAAATTCCTTTTGCTCTCACATTTTGGTTCCTAAAACCTCTTCAATAGCTTGTTCTCTCACTTCTCTTAACCTCTCTTCTTTTTGTTGGGTTTAGAACTAAACCCAACAAAATCGAGATCAGGCATTTTTCGCAGGTTCAAGCGGTGGCAAAGGTCAAAAGAAGTCAGATGAGAGAGCAGAAGCTCTCAGAGATGATCGAGAAGGAAGATTACTGACGCGAAAGAAGTTTGCGAAGGTAATCTAACCTCTGATGAGTGCAAAGTGGCTTGGGATGAATGGAAGAAGTGAGCCAAGCCAAAGCTGATCTTCGCCTGAAAATGGAGAAGAAAGACCCTTTAGAGTCCTTTTGTCAAGAGATTCCAGAGATTGAGTGCCAGATTTACTACTGAATATTTCCGACCATATTGCCGGGCACGCGTTTGCCAGATTCTTGTGGATTCAAGGTTTTTGGGCGATCTTTTGGCCGGAATTTGTGTATGCTATTTCCAGGGTTGTAAATTTTAATCCGGATCCAAATCTGGATTTGGATCCTATGTTTGGATCCAGATCCGGATCTAAATATATAGGACCCAATTGGATCTGGATCTAGTATTCTTCGGATCGGATCTAGGTAGATCCAGACCTGATCCAAAAAATTCTCACCCCAACGTAACCTCGGTACTTGGGGAGGTGGGGATAATATATATTTTTTTAAAGGAATATTTTTGTTTAGAAATGTTTTTGTAAAAAGTATCAAAATAGAATTTAAGAAAATGACATTCATCTTTTCAAAAAAAAAAAATAGTACACAGAAGAAATTATGAAAATAGAAGTTACATAAGAAAGAAAGGAAAAAAACATTCATATGTTCAGAAAAAAAAGAAAAAAAAGTATATAGGTAGAAATAATAAAAATAGAAGTTACATAAAAAAGAAAAAAAACATTCATCTTTCGAAAAAACACATAAGGTGAAAAGAGCAATTTTTTTTGTTTATTTTTTTCATATAGTTCAATAAAGAATATTTAGGTGAAAATATTGTGTATTTTTGCCGATCTTTAAAAATATCGCAGTTGGGAATTTTAACCATTGCGCATCACTAGTTGCCTCCGTTTTCACTTACTTATCCTCCCAAACCTTTCGCATGTTCTAATTGACCAATAATCCCCTCCCGTTGACTCAAAAGGTCAGCTCAGGCCGGCCCAACCTTAAAAAAGTAAAGCCTTGTGGCTTGCAGGTCGGGCTAGGGCTAATGCAGGCCCCGTCATAGTTAACAAGTCGCTGTTAAAAATGTGATTTTTTAAAAATTTGGCGTTTTTTAAAAAATCCATAAAAACACGTGATATTTTCACAAAATTTTTTATTATATGTTTTATTGAATTATGTGAAAAAAAGGATAAAAAAAGCGTTTTTTACTTGTGTACCTTTTTTTTTTTGGAAAGGTGGATTTTTTTAGTTTTTTACTTTCGACCTATGTTTATTTTTTTGGAAAGATGAATGACTTTTTCTTTTTTATGTAACTTCTATTTTCATACTTTCTTTGTACTTTTGTTTTTTTGGGAAAGATGAATGCCTTTTTCTTTTTTTTTGTTTTTACTTCTTTTTTTAAAAATTTCTAGAAAAGTGTTTTATTTTCCAAATAAAAATATTCTTTAAAAAAGAAATTTTTATCCCCACCTTCCCAAGTACTGGATTTATGCTCAAATCATGGTCTTCAAAGCCAAAGTTGTAGATTAAATGCATATTTTTTTTTTTTCCTTTTTGAGCTTACAGATTTGACTAGTTATTGTGGAAAATTGTTGTGTAAAATCAAATTTCTTGAATTAAATTTCATTTTATTTTTAATTTGGATTGAGATGAAAAATGGTTTGTGATTTTAAAATTAAATTTTATATTATTTGTGATTAATAGTTACTATGAAAATACACTCTTTATGGCAATCTTAGGGCGATTTCATCTCTTGCAATAAAAAAAAGTATAAAAACCATTGTGTCAAAATCCCCGGATTTTTCATGTGATGTTGATAAAGTTCTATCAACAAGCTCATCCAAATTAGGGCTCAAATAACTCCTAGATTAGGACTCAAATAACTCTCAACTTATGGTTTAAATACCATCAATCTCAGGACAATTTCACCTCACTAATAAGGATAAAAAAATATAAAAACCATTGAATCGAAATCCCCAAAATTTGGCAAGATATTTCATCCGTTGTTGTCAAAATTCCACCAAAAAATCTCATTCAAATTAGTGATCAAAGAGCATTTAGATTATCACAATGTATAAAAAATCTCAGATCCCTACAACAAAAGCTTAAAGAAAATTCCAAATTATGGGTCAATACCCAAAATTAATTCATCGTTGGAAAACTTGGATTAGGGTTTCATGTCTACTGTTTTTTTGTATCTTCTCTGAGATTTTGCATCCATAATATCCGCTCGTCTTTTACATTGCCCGGCTATTTACTATGGTGTTAAAGCTTTTGGTGTATTTATCATCAATTGTTTAGTGGGATGATGTTGAACTAAAAAAAGAAGTGGTGTATTTAACATGTTGTACTTGGTGAGATGTTAAAGCCTTTATTATGTGGTGTATTTAATAGGGTGTATTCATTTTTAAAAATTTTCTAAAAATTTTCTAACTTATCTGTTTTTTTCACTCTGAATTTTTAGCCTAATCTGATATATTCGTGACATTTTTTTTTTGAAGTATTTTTACCATTACGTATTTTTGATCTGATTTTTTCATCCAATTTTTTTTAAATAAAATTGATTCATTTACAATTTTATGATGAGCCGATATATTGGTATCCCCCGACTTGCTAATTTGAAGTAGTCCGATCCCCTTACCTGACCCTTTTCTTATCATAAGGATTCTTTTATGTTTTTTATATCAAAAAATAGTTCCAAAACTATTCTATTTTACAAACGAGTTTTTCTTATTGACCAAGTTACACCTGATTTGACCATTAAAGGTCGAAGTAATTTGAACTCATAATGGGGCAAATACAGGTAACAAAATCTCTCTCCTTTTTTTTTTTTGTTTTTTTCTCTTGTGAAGTCTCCAACTAGTTCAACACTTCAATGGTCAAATTATTTTTTACTCAGATTGGTGGAATTAGAATTTAGTTCAACCCTTCAATGGTGGACTTTCTATAGAACTTCCCCGACCTTTCAATGGATTTAGGACGATTGTTTCATGTGGGCTGAACCGACTGCATTTCTACAATATGCAGTCTCAAGATATAAAGCATCCATCTTAAAGATGGATGCAAATAGGTGATCCATCTAAAAATAATTGAAACGAACGGTTCAAATGTTTTTTTCATAAAATCATTATTTTTATTTCTTAAAATTTATTTATTTATTTATATTCATAATCTTCATGTTAGAGATTACATGTCTTTAAAAATTAGGTCTGATAATCCATCTTAAAAATAGATTTTTAACAGTCGACTCATTTCTACATGAACTCGTAGAAACCGTGTCCATGGATTTAATATCTGATGCCACTTCTATATGAACTCGTAGAATCCGTGTCCATGGATTTAATATCTGATGCCACTGTTAGCGTAAGTCACTCTCCCTATTTTCCACTCCCTTTCTCTCTCAAAAATGCTCATAAAAAATCCTACTTTTGTGCCCCATTTCGCTATTTCCTGTGGACTATACGACGTTTTCTTTATATGTCAAAAAATATTCTATTCCTTCAAGAATATTATGTCTATTTATTCCCTCGGATAAAACCCATCTTAGGATTAATTTTAATTTTAGGCCCCCAAATTTTGGAGCCATAACTTTTTTAATATATAGATTAACGTCAATGAAAAATATTTTCTAATATCACTCTTTATGCACTTGAAAAACAATTATCTCAAGATTGAATAGAAACCCTCAAATTCTTAAAGGGTGAGATCTAAATGTTAGAAAATCCAAATTTTAAATTTTTTCTTTTTGAGAGTAATCATCTAGTGATTTTTGGATGGTTACCAAAATTTAAGATTGGAAAACTCCTCCAAATCAGGTCGTCAAGGGAGTAGAATTGAACTATGCTCTCAAGGGAGCATAGTATACAAGCTTTTTCCTTATATTTTGTCTCTCTAGTTTTCCTCACATCTCTGTTCTCTACCTACTTATTTTACGGTTTTATCTAAACCATTTGCGACAGTTGTTTCAATGAATTGCTGCTCTTGTTCGAGGGTTACGTTTTTTCTCTTCGTCTGCAAATTATGCTCTAATTGAAGCCGATGTTCATTTTAGGCACTGTCTTTGAGGCTCTAATGCATCAAATTAGGGCGTATCTCAAAAATTCAATAAAATTCAATAGAAGAGGTTGTCTCGATGCAAAAATTTCTCAAAATGGATCATCTCGACTTCAAGATGCATGGACAAGGGAAAAAATGGATTTCAAGTATTGAAAATAATGCATCTTGTAATGCATTTCATGGAACTTGAATTTTCAAGTGTTCATAGATATGTTCGATCTACATTTTTTTTAAGCTTTAAATTGTATAATTAGATATGTAAATAAATTTATAAGTCATCAAAAAAAATTTCAGTATTGAAATGACATCTTTTGATACTATTTGAGAGTGTGCCTTAATTGTTTAGGGCCTCGGCCTCATACAGAGCACACCATCTAGTTGGTGATGAGCCAGTAAGCAGTTAAAGGGACATGGATGGATTTGCTGTATATGCTACAAATAAATTGAACAGAAAAGACGCTTCTGGTGACTTGTGGCCGATACTTATTTTTAACAGCCTACTTTCTCTAACCAACTTAATAAATTTCAAAGTGGATTTTGAAGAATACAAGTATTTAAGTATTAATATGCGATTCTGTCTTTTTAAGGTGGATCAGACTCAAGGAAGCCTGAGTGCGTGCGTGGTTGTAGAGAGAGAAAGACCTCTCTTTCCATTTTTATTATTATTATTTATTGAATCATTTTTATTTTTATTATTTATTTATTTATTTATTGAGTCATTTTGGCAAAGTGTCGGCGCGTAAAGAAATTCCAAGTGCTAGACTAGTTTTTTGCATAAAAATTCCGGCACTTGTAGGCCACCGCAGCACACATATAGAAGGCGGTTGCTACTTGAAGTGCTGGACTTAGTCCTCAAAGAAACAAGTGCTGGTCAAGTACCGGACCTGATCCCCGAAGCTTTGGGTAAAAAAAACTACCGTAATAGTGTGAAAATACATTATGGTTATTAAAGTATAAAAACTACCGTAATAGTGTGAAAATACATTACGGTTATTAAAGTGCCGTAGTGTCATTAGGTTACTTTAATTATCATAATATATAAATATATTGTGCACGATTCTTATTACCGTAATAGTTTGAAAAGCTTAGGGCTACTCCTCTCCTCCCGTGATGCTTTGAAAAGATTCAATGGGCATTTTTTTTCTTCATTTCCTTGCTATTTGTTCACATGATTCTCACCGCTTGTTTTCTTGCATTCCATTTTTAATTACTCTCGATTTCATGGGTTATTTTCTTTCCATTCATTTTTTCATTCTTAGATTTTTCCGGATTATTTTGTTAAATTAGGTACTATTTTTCTTCACTCTTGTTGGTTCAAAGATTTTGTTGCAAAGTAAATAGTACTTGAACTTGTTCTCTTGTAATTCAAGAAAGTTATTTCTCTCTTTGAAGAGTTCTTTGTGGTTTTCTTTCACTGTGGTCTTTTTTGTGTTCAACTCTGAACTTATTGCACACAATAACTGTGATTTTCTCTTTTTCTTCTCTCTTGTTGGTTCAAAGATTTTGTTGCAAAGTAAATAGTACTTGAGCTTGTTTTTTTGTAATTCGAGAAAGTTATTTCTCTCTTTGTAGAGTTTTCTGTGGTTTTCTTTCACTACGGTCTTTTTTGTGTTCAACTCTACAATATTTTCATGAATTTATTTCACACAATGACTGTGATTTTCACTTTTTCTTCATATTCTACTATGTTTATTCCCCAAGTATTTTTTTGTCTTCATGTTCTATTGTTCTCTCAGAACGCGCAGAGTTCGAAGGCAGATTCATGCTCCTGCTCTCCTTTGTCTGCATAGATTGAGGGAAGAGCTCTCTTGTGCGGTACGAGACTGGGGGATCAAACCCACATCTATTCTCTCTCTATCTCTCTCATTTGACAGAGGATTATTTACTTTTACAGGTTTGCTTGGATATTTGCTTTGAGCCCAGTACCACCCATTGTGGCCACAGGTATGAAATTGTTCTCTGTGGAAAATATTAAGTGTTTATTGTGGCCTTTTTGCCCCTTGTTTCGTGAGTTTTTGGCCTAATCAATGACTGTTGAGGCCAATACGATACTACGCATCAATTGGATCTAAGAATGAATCGACAAGATATTTTGGTGTACAAATTCTTCAATTTTTTGATATGGGAAAGAATTAAAGATAGCTACCAAAAAGACTAATCAAATCCATAATGATGTATTCAAAAATACAATATTTTTGTTACTTGACCAACCATTCCGAAGAGCAAATACAACGGGTACGCTAATCACTAAACGGTATTGTGAGTATTGTAATGTTCGAAGTTATTATGGTACTAGAAGTACCATAATATATTTCATACTATTCCTGTAGTTTTCATACTATAATATGTTGCAATGCCATTACAGTAGAAAGACTATCGTAAATAGCATTTTCGTCCAAAAAGTATAAAAAATGGTGAAAAAATGTGTGGGCGAGGTTTTGGGAAGTTTTAGGTTTTTTTTCAATTTCCTTAAAAAGTACGTAGTTTAGACTTTTTTTTTTTTTGTTGGATTGGAGGTATTTGCCAAGAAAATATATGTTGGGGTAAAAAGTGAGAAAAATTGGTTGGAGTAACTTGTACAGAAACTCTAGATTGGGGTTATTTGTAAATTTCCCCTTAATATAAAAATGTACTTATTTTTTAATTACGAAAACTACAAAGATCTTTTAAATTAATTTTCCGGAAAAAAAGAAGAAGAAGCAGAAAAGCAGAAATTGTATCCTTAATGAGTTCGATTTTAAAAATTTGAAAAGATGCTTCAATGGTTTGGTCCACAGTGTTAATTTTAGGGACCACAGACTTAAATCCTTCAACAATGTTTTGGTGCACGATGTTAATTTGAAGGACCACATACTTAAATCCTTCAATAATTCTCCAACAACTGAGCATGTGACTGCCTTCTCCGCCACGTATACTCCTCTTTCTCCTTTCGTTTGCCTGCTCTCTTCTTCACAAGTAATCAAAAAAGACGTTCTAAAATCTCTATCTCTCTCTCTCTCTCTCTGTCTGTTTATGTGCATCAATGGATTTCACAAGTGCACTGGCAATGACTGCCCTTCCGGGGGCTGTAGTAAAGTTGGAAGCCACACCGATTGATGACCTACCGACCGCGAGATCGATGATGCAAAAGGTTGTTGATTGTATAAATGATGGAAATATTTGGATTAGTGGTGTGTATGGAATGGGAGGCGTTGGGAAGACGACTCTTCTAATCGAAAGTGTTCATAATCGACTCCGATCTAATTGTTGTTTCGACATTGTGATATGGATTACGGTTTCTCGTAACCCAAATATGGCAAGCATACAGAGGAAGATTGGAGATCGGTTGGGTATTGATTTGTCTGGAGTGGAGGTCGAGACTGCAAGAGATGAACCGTTGACGATTTTAAGAAACAAAAGGTTTTTACTGATTTTGGATGTTGTGTGGGAGAGATTGGAACTGAAAGAAATCGGAATTCCTCGGCCAACTGTTAAGAACAACTGTAAGGTTATCTTAACGACTTGGAATAGTGATTTGTGCAGTGAAATGGAGGCCACTGTAAGCATTGAAGTAAAAAAATTACCAGAGGCAGAAGCATGGAGTTTGTGCAAGAAGAAAGCAGGTCAACATGTTGAATAGAACCCCTAGCCGAGACCATTCTCAAAAAATGTGATGGTCTACCGCTGACAATCATATTTTCACCTTAAGTTACACTGTAGGCGAAGCTATAGTAGATCAGCTTGGTAATCTCAATGCCGCATGTAACAGGGGTTATGCTTTGCTCGAATGACTTATGATAGAAAGTGGTGTCGACGAAAAACCAGTGACAATGCACAACATGATGCGAGAATTGGCATTATAGATCACTTCTGCTAGTTCAATTCATGACCCTAACTTCATAGTAAAGTCGGGTGTCGGATTGAAAAAGGCACCTGAAGCTGCCGACTGGCAAGGAGCTGAGAGAATCTCATTGATGGGAAACAATCTCGAAGAACTCCCTCAGTTGCCAGAGATAATGAATCCTTACAAACCATGCCTCAACTTCATTTCTTTGAATGTATGCATGCTCTTCGTGAGCTCGATCTCTCTAGGATTGGGATCGAATCCCTTCCTCGTTCCCTATCAAACTTAGTGAACCTCCGCATTCTTCGTCTAAAAAGTTGCCATGAACTTGAAGGGCTACCACCAGAAATTGGAGAGCTTCAACAACTCCAACTTTTGGATGTTCAAGGGTGCATTCAAAGGAAGGAGCTAGTTTGAGATTGGGGGAGCGGCATTGGTTCCCTTAGCAGAACCGCAAAACTTAGTCTCTGTTTTTCTACAAATATAGCGGTTTGACATGGCTTCCCCCTCTCAACATCTCCGAGCAGCTTGATATCAACCAATGTGACGACCTGGGCAGTCTGGTGCACTATGAGGATGCCAAGGATATAAATGCATTCAAGACATTGGTGGTGCTGAATCTTGCTTTGCTGCCTAGCTTTGAAAGGATATGTGCAGGCAGCCCTCCTCATGGATGCTTTGGAGGACTAAAGGAAATAAAGTATTTCAATGTCCAAACCAAAATTGGTAGTTCTCTTCCCCAGTTGTATTCTGCAACAACTCAAAAATCGCACTCTCAGGTTTTGCGACGAAATAAAGGAATTAATTGAAGATGAGGAGGTGGATGAGGATGTCTTGCCAAGCTGACCAGCATATATGGTGACTGTGAGTTGAATTGCCCATTGGACGTGTTTCGTTGTTTGAGGTTAAAGAAGATCCCTCTTCGCCCCGAGAGTGTAGACCGATTACAGTTAAAAGGAGATAGGAAATGGTGGGAAAGCCAAAACATCCGGTTCTGTATTGAACTGCACTTCAAGGATCTTTGATGATGGATAAGAGTGGGACAACTACTGTTTCACTGCACTTACTCATTTTCCTATCTCCTTGTACCGGAGGTAAATTGAAAAAGAATTGTAGAATTCAGTGTTAGCACTCTAGAGTGCGTGGAGATGATCAATTAAAAGGTTTTTAAATATTAAAACAACTTTTTTTGATGGATTTGTGAGGTGTATCTTTAATTCTACATTTTAAGGTTGTGACCTTATATAAACTTTTAGAAAAGTATACAATGAGACCAGTAATCTTTGGTATAAGGTAATCACAATTAATCTTGACCATTGGATGTAAAATTAGATGGTTGCATTTATTCCATTGACCAGGCTCAAGCTTCAAAAAAAAAATTCTTCGAACTTTATGACACATTTAAGCTATCAGATTTCACATTTGATGGTTGTGATCTCCTTGTATCAAAAGTAAAATGTTCTCATTAGTCGTGGGAGGCAAGGCACACAGGGGATAGG